GTGGTCCCCTGGAGGATGACAGAGTAGCTGTCTTTTCAGTTGATGAACTCGTTCCTCATCCCCAAGGGTAGTGGCACCCGTCTACGGCACCCACTACTTGGGGGGAGCCGAGGTCAGCGAATCCTTGCATGATCTGTGGGTGAAAAGGAGGGGGAGAAGCGGAGGGTGAATGACAAAAATCAAGGCACTTACCAACTCATGACGTTTTTTCGCGTACTTGTTCAGGTTCAACGAACCTAGCAGCCTAATGTATACAGTGACATCTATACTATGTGCCGGGTCATGACTTTTTTGTGCCGGAGGAGAAAGGGAGAGGTATGTGTGACTGTCCTTACCTGAGCGGTGTCCCCCAAGTACACTGTCTGTGACAGCAGCAGCTTCTCCATGCTGAGGGCGAACTCCACCAACACTTCCCCCACAGTGGTAAGGCCGACCCCAAACTGCTTTGATGCCTGCTCGTAGCTGGCTTTGTGGGCAAGGACCCAAATAGCCATGGCGACTCTCTTCTCCACCGGGATGGCTTTCCTCATCATGGTGTCAGACCTTTCCATTTCCAGACGCAGGATTTCCACTATCCTGTGGAAGAGGCCACGGGGCATTTGGAAGAACATCCTCCATTGCTCATCGGACCAGATGTATGTGACAAACCCGTCCCACAAGTCGGTACTTCTGGGGAACATCCACCAGCAGCACGGGGCTCTCTCGGGTGGCATCAGAGCAACAGCGGCGGCAGTACACCGTGCAATGCTAGTAGCGATACCCACTCTACCGGTTGTCACTTCTGTGTCCTCCGATTCATCACTGGAGTCTTGTATGCATGCAGCTGCTACAGAAGCCATGGTGGAGGCTCCTGTGGCCGTGCACTGCAGGCTGAATACCAGTGTGGACCACTCAGTCACCATGGCATTCATGATTTCTCTACTTTGCACAGTGCGCAGGTCCATAACAATGCCAACATTGCTGTTAAAGGGGCCATGTTGTTCCTGCACACGTGCGCATGCGCCAGAGAGACCATGAAAAAAAAATTAAAGCCGCCGCTGTGGGCCCATGCGGTTACTCCATTCCCATTTAGGGAAACCTTGGGGCCAGCAGTGTGGGGGATGAGGCTTCACTGCAGCCTCAGAAAAGATGCATTAACTGGCCCCCATTGTGGTTGCTCCACCCCCACTTACGGCATCCTCAGGGCAGGTGATGCGGTTGCTGCAGTTTGGGGAAAATGCCTTTTCCTGTTTGTCTGCATAGCCCCTAAGTTCCCACTTATTCAACTATTCTCCTTTAGTTGGAAGTAACAATTGGATTTTAATAACTTGCATGCCCAAGAAAGCCCTATGAAATTAATGGGGTTTCCATAAGTCAAAAGGTGAGTTGAAGACACAGAGACAGCTGTGTCTAATCTAGGCAAATTATAGGTGGTGTGGATAAATGGAGGTCTTTTTGACTTGATTATTTTGTGTGTGTGTGTGTGTGTTCACTTTAAACAAAACTTGGACTGGACAGCCTTTCAAATAAAACAAATATTCTAACTGACTATGCCATAGAATAAGCAATAAGTACAAAAGCAGTTATCTTCATTTGTGTATTCAAACTGAGGAAATTAAAACTTTCATTTAAAAAATCCTTGGTTGTTCTATTACACTGTCCAAATATTACAATCTATCAAATGGAGCATGCCATTAAGATGCTTTTGAGCAATCCATTGATTGGAACAAGAGAAGGTATAGTATGAGTGAAGCTAATTATGGGAATGTGATGTCTTTTATATTCTGTAAAAAAATCTATTTATGGCTTGCTTTTGTTTATGTCTTTTAAAATTAAACCAAGATGACATATTCAATATTTCTCTTTTTGCAGTGCTAAAAAACTACCACTTGAGGGCACCTAAGCTTCTTTGGTCCTCTCATTCTCACACATATACAGAAAACCAATCTCCTGAGATAAGATGAAGGTGCCTCATGAGCCTCCTACCCACCACAAGTCTACTGGTGTGTATTTGCAAGGGTAAACATACATTTGGAATTCTGTGGAAGAAATAACAGCTATAAGGGGAAATTTGGAATTGAAAAATAGCTGGTGGGGAAATGGTTAAAGTATCCATTCTTTGCTTTTCCTCAGAAAATCTCAACTTCCCAAAGCTACATTCCTTCAACTTACTTTTAAGGCTACTCTAACACTCATCTGTATGTGACATGTAGTTTGCTACTAAGGACAATTCTGGTCTAGTACAAATCACTCTTAGCTACACAAATAGCACACTTTAAAAAAGGAGATTGCTTACCTTTAACTGTTTCTTCAAGTGGTCATCTGTAAACTCCCACATATGAGAGTCTCTGTGTTTGTGCAAACCCACTTCGAAAACTTCTAGAGCTAGATCTCTTCAGCTGAGAGTCTGTTCTCCCCCCCCCCCCCCCCATATATATCACATGTTCCCTCTCAAATGTCCTCAGTTCCATTTTTACGGCAGCGGCCAACAACCAAAGAAGTTAAGCATAGCAATGGAGGGAAGACAGGTGGGTTGTATGAGTTTACAGATGACCATGCAAAGAACCAAAGTTACAGGTAAGCAACTTGCTTGTAGAATTGGAAGACTCACATATATGGGAGATTAGGAAGCTATACACATCTGCAATGACTGAAGTACAGATAAGCCAAAGGAAGTAGAGCCCCTGGCCCAAATATCAAGTCTATAATGTTTTACAAAACTAAATGGCTGAGCCCAAGAAGCTCCTTGACAGATAGACTGGCACAACAGTCAAGACAGTAGATGAACTAGAGACAACCCTTGTGGAATTGGAATAGATAGAGGAAAGCTCTGACTTTCTGGCAGTCTGGTAGGCTAACAAGATAATAGCAGCTGCCTGCTTGGAAATGTGCTTCAAGGAAGCTTGACAATCTTGCTTATGTATTCCATGGCAGACAAAAAGTCTGCCATGGAGATTTTCTGAAGTGTTTTGTCAGATCAACTTAGAAAGCAAGGGTACATCTGACAACTAGTGTGTGCCAAGCACGTTCATCATCCATGGTTTAGGAAAGTCAGAAGCAAGAGCTGCTGGGACAAATGAAACAAGGAAGCCACTTTTGGAAGGAAAGTACCATCTCAAAACAGAGCCACCTTGTCTTTGTAGAATTGGAGGAACATCATATGCGCCCTCAAAGTGTCCAGTTCATTTGCACTCCTGGCAGAGGTCATGGCCTCATTAACTGGGAGGGAACCAGTCAGTCTGAGTCAGGATTGATGGGAGTTCAAGAAGGAAAGGTGTAAACAAAACCTTTTAAGAAAAGCTCAACCAAGGGTTTCAGAAGCTAAGAAGAGAATTCTCAAGGTCGAATGAAGGCAGAGTGAGCAATCACAAACTCTTATTGAAAAGAAGGAGAGGTCCTGTGATGCCAAGGAAGAAAAGAACCAAAGAATTGGGTTAATGGAAGCTCTGTGCTAGACCACATAAATGTCACTGAGAAAAGAAGTGCCTCTGCTTATAGCATTGTGAATCCTGGTCAACTGTCTATGTGCAGAAGAATGGTTAATGTCTCTGGGGAAATGTCCCCCAAGCTATGAGACGAAGGGTACCTAAATCTGGGTGTTGAATGTGACCATTGGCTTAGATGAGGAGATCATGACAAAATGGGAGTCTGTGAAAGCAATGAAACAAGTGCAGGAGTATGGCTTTCCAGGCCACTAAAATTTCACTCAATGTAGTCTGTGTCATCAACCCTGACCGTCATGAGGACCTTAGTGATGAGTGGGAGGGAAGAAAAGACTGTTGTGGAGGGTTCTAGGAGGCAGCTGTTACTTGTGAGACTGGGTTTGTGGTCTGTTGAG